GACATGTAACTACTCCCTTCTCATTAAAAGCCACCTCACAGTCTCAATATGATGAGCAAATGAGATAAAATGTGTGAAAGCTCGGGCACAGTGCTGAGCATACAGTTAACCACCACCATCACCCACACAGAGTTTTGTTGTCCAGTTATCAGAAGCTTCACAGAAAAGAGAGATGTCCAAGGGGAGGGGACAGAGAACAGCACTGCCATCTCCATATTGCTATTTTGGCAGGAGTCTGGACTTTAATCAAATGGAGGTATATTAACTTCAGAGCACCACATGACACTGTCCCTGCAAGCCTAATGAAGTCTTTGATGTGGTCTGTCCAGTTGGATAGGTACCCTACCTTTAATCACGGCAAGCCTGTGACAGAGAGTAACTCAGGAGACTCGCTTTCATCTCGAGGTATTCTTGCAGCATGATTTTCCAAGTAAATACCTAGGCATATTATTTTGTTTTGCCTTTACACTAAATTACAAGCAGGTGAGAGGATGCTATTTCGTGGCCTTTGCTATGAGAAGATGAGTTCCTCAGAGTAAAGAAATATATCTTCTTCCTCAAAATTTATATCTTTCTCTGAACTCCTGTGGTTTGTTTAAGAGCTCAGGGCTAGAAAAACTTAAAAGTTTTGGAAAACTGCACATATTGTACCTTGGAAACTGGTTTCAACTCCTTCAAGAAAGATTGTCAAATGCAAGGATGTTGTGAATTCATCATGCATTAATCATTTAGCCCCATGAGGGAATTTTCTGCCTTATCCGTCACTGAAAAAAATTCACAAGACCTACATTATTCCATTTATTTTATGGTTATAAATAATCAAATACAATTTTCGACTCTGTGGTTTGTAATGCATTCAGATTGACTTAGAACATGATGGAAAAGAACAAGCTTGGTTTGTAGTTGAGGTTTGCTAAGGACTGGAATTCCCCAGGTAGTTCTTTCTCATTATGTAGGGCACAGTTATGTTGTAGAGACCTCTCCAGAAGCCCAGGGGAGGGCCTCCTCTCATTAGGCATGTACCAGTGAGCGCCGTTGATGGGAGTGTGACACACCGCAGATCCGCAGGCGGGGTGAGAATGATCAAGATTTTTAAAATGGAAAATTTTGAGTCATCTTGGCTAGAGATTTTTTTTTGTAATCTCCAAATCCTTCCATGCAGAAAAGAAATAGAGGGTGATAATTCAAAACTGAAGATTGTTGCTGTGAATTGGTAGTGACAACAATATGGTCAAGGTCTGTTTTTCACAGTTCAGTTCACACTTATTTCAGGGCTGGGGGAAAATGTGTTCTTGAAATAAACCTCAGCTCATTCAGAGATTGTGAGCATGAGATCTTAATGAAGATTCTTTTCCTCTGAAATGATGAGCTTCCTTCAGGGTCCAGCCTCCCTGCCTGCCTGAGATCTGCTAGAAGACTGGACATGGATGCTTGTCTCGTTGGCATTTCCCAAGGCCAGTTTCTAAACCTGTCGCCCACCTGCCCCTGTTGGCTGGAGCACGGGATTCTAATTAAGTCATTGCACATTCCAGCTGTCTCCTTTGGTGACAGAGCCATGCCCAGGGAGATGCTGAGCCTGTGACAGTTGTGTTCCTGAGGCTCCATTGTGGGCACCTAGATGACTCGGCTATTGCTGCTCAGCCTCTGTGCTGAGCCTGTGGGCTGTGCTCAGGTGGTGCTTGTGTGAACAGGTGAGTTATCCAAGGAAACCACTGCCCTCATTAAGGCATTGGCAAAGTTCAAGGGCATCTCTACACTATGGAGTCTGTTAGGGCCATAGGCACAGCAGCTTGTGCTGCTCATCATTGGTATAGCAGGTATGGCAAGTATGTACTACTCTGGTCAGATTCAAAAGGCCAAGGTTAGAATAGTTGTTCTGACTCTGTTGACATTGCTTAAAGGGAGATGAGAGCCCTGGAATCTTGGATCTTTTATTTGGCTACAACCCTTGAATTGGCAGGTTCCCTAGTGCCCCTTGATTAGGGTGTCCAGTCCCAGGATATATAGGGTTTGTAGAGTCCACCGCAAATCTGTGTCCATCAATACCTGCAAGATTCATCTTTACCTAGACTGGGGAGATAAGCCCCAATCACCTTCAGAAAGTCCTCCTCTCTGCTTCTCCTCCTTCCCCTCTTCCATCTGTTTCCTGAGATCTGGCACCGTTAGCATTTAACAACCTGAATACCTGATGAATCATCCGCTTGTGGGGACAAGTCATGTAAAAATTGATATTTAAGTATTCTTGCTCATGCCCTTGTAAAGACGATCCCTGTCCCTCCTCCTCCTCTCCCATTTATCCCTTGAATTCTGGGGCATTCACCTATCCAAACAGTTCCTTCTCCACACCTGCCCTGCTCATCCCTTTTTTGTTTGTATCCTGTGTATCCTGTGATCATGAGCCCACTGGAAGAAGCCTTCATGCTTAAAAGGTTCCCATGCTGGAGGTGCTGATCTTTGAGGGTGCCCACACTTCTGATCCAGGAGGTACCAGGAATAATGGGTTCTAAGCCCACATTTAGCTTACTCCTTTAACTATTCCTGCATAGGGCAGCCATGAAGTTTATCCTGGGGCAGATAACATCCTACCACGTTCTCAGTTCTGTACAAATCAAATAAGAAACAACAATAACCAAAATTGCCTTCCCTTTCCCACTCTCTCTCTCTCTCTCTCTCTCTCTCTATATATATATATATATATAAAATATAGTATGTGATAAAAGATATATATATGCATATATACATATATATACATATTATGGAATACTACTCAGCCATAAAAAGGAATGAATTAATGGCATTGCAGCAACCCGAGTGGAACTAGGGACCATTATTCTAAGTGAAGTCACTCAGGAATGGAAAACCAAACATCGTATTTCTCACTCATAAGTGGGAGCTGAGCTATGAGGATGCAAAGGCATAAGAATGACACAGTGAATTTTGGGGACACAGGCAGAAGGGGTGGGAAGGGGTGAGGGATAAGAAAACTACAATTTGGGTTCAGCGAGTACTGCTTCGGTGATGCGTGCACCAAAATCTCACAAATCACTGCTAAAGAACTTACTCATGTAACCAAATACCACCTGTTCCCCTAAAAGCTATGGAAATAAAAAAATCTTTTAAAAAGCACAGCACCCTCCTGCATGTTAATTTATGTAAATGGGTACCTGAAGTGACAGCCAGTTCTCCAGTTCCAGAAACAGTCAAAATAGGATCCCAGCCCAGCATGGTGGCTCATGCCTGTAATCCCAGCACTTTGGGAGGCTGAGGCAGGAGGATTGCTTGAGCCTGGGAGTTCAGGATTACCTTGAGCAACATAGCAAGACCCTATCTCTATGAAAAATTAGCCAGGCTTGGTGGCACACGTTAGTAGTTCCAGCTACATGGGAGGCTGACAGAGAGGATTTCTTGAGCCCAGAAATTTGAGACTGCAGTGAGCTGTGATGGCGCCATTGCACTCCAGCCTGGGACAAGATTGAGATCCTGTCTCTAAGAAAAATGAAAAAATAAAATAAAATCTCAGCCTGACGCTTGGCTAGGACACTTCGTTACAGACAACAGTAGACCCTATAAGGCAGAGAACATCCGATCATGCAAAGGAGAGGCAGCTGAATGGCTCCTCCATCTGGGTGTTTGTCATGTAGGGACTAAGTTGTGTCCCCCTAAACTTCATCTGCTGAAGCCCTAACACCCAATGTTGCTGTATTTAGAGACAGAGCCTTTAAAAAGGCAATTGAAGTTAAATGAGGTTACGTGGGTGGGGGCTCTAATTGCATGAGACTAGTGTTCTTACAAGAAGAGGCAGAGGCTGGATCTGGTAGCTCACATTTGTAATCCCAGCACTTGGAGAGGCTGACATGGGAGAATCACCCGAGCTCAGGAGTTCGAGACCAGCCTGGGCAACATAGTGAGACCTCGTTTCTATGAAAAATAAAAAATAATTAGCAGGGCGTGGTGGCATGCAGCTGTAGTCCCAGCTACTCAGGAGGCTGAGGCAGGAGTACTGCTTGGGCCCAGGAGGTCAAGGCTGCAGTGAGCTGTGACTGAGCCTGCACTGCACTTCAGCCTGGGTGATAGAGTGAGACCCTGTCTCAGTAAAAAAAAAAAAAAAAAAAAAAAGAGGCAGAGACACCAGGAATGCATAAGCACAGAGGAAAGGCCATGTGAGGACACAGTGTGAGAAGGTGGCAGTTTGCCAACCAGGAAGAGAGGCCTCACCAGAAACCAGTCTTGATAGTACCTTGACTTTAGACTTCGAGCCTCAGAACTGTGAGAAAATACAGTCCACTTCTTCCAGTCACCCAGTCTGTGAGATGTGTGGTATCTCATGTAGCAGTCAGAGCTGACTAATTCAGTGTTCCACTCCTTAGTTTGCAAAGCTGGGCTCCTGTGCAGGCATGTGGGTTTTCTTACATCAGTGCTGCAGTAACAGGTGCAGAGGAATAATAACCCCTTGCCCTTGTGCAGGGATCTGTTCGTTCCAAATGGCTTTCATGCGTGTTATTTCATTTGATTCTCCTAATACCTTTATGGCCCTTTGCAGAAGTTGGGGAGTTTTATTACCATTTTACAGCTGATAAAACTGAGGTATAAAAAGGCTATGTAATTTACAGAATTGGTCTGAAATCACCTTGAGAGTCTGCACCAGGCCTATTGAAACCTAATCTGGGATTCTTTTCACTATGCAAAGGTATCTATAAGTGGATTAGGATAAAGGACTTAGGTGCTGCTGGAGAAAGCGCCCCTTCTTTTTTGTGTTTTTCAGCATCCGTGTGATGACCAATGTGTCCCAATTCCCATTCACAGAATAGCTGCAGAGCCTCTATGAAAGAGCTCAGTGGAGTCATTTTATGATATGTAGGACAAGATGATCACAGCAGGAAATGGGCAAGAGTGTGGCCCAAAAAAAAATTGGCCTGTGGCAACCCAGCAGAGAGCCAGTCCAATGAGAGGGGCGGCTGAGCCTCTGTTGTCAGCCACTGCGCAGCCTCCGCCCCATCCCGCTGTCTGAGTCAGATTGCCCTTGAAGCTGTCTACACGGCAGGTTCCTATTATCATTTAGCTTTTCATTCTGTGATTCTCTGTAGGAGGGAGTTGGTGGTAATGTCCTTTCAGGCTTGATGTTCTGTTAAGAAGTGGGTGTTCTTTTTACCCTTATTCACAAACTCCCAGTGGCGACCGCCTTGAGTGGGCTGTTTCTCTTCTTAGTCTAGCTAAATCTGTGGGATAGCTCAGAGGGATTTTCCTCCCCGAGTCCCCGACAGCAGTGGGGCACCTCTGTGGGCGCCTCGTTTCCAAAACAGCTTTTACATGGATGATGGCCAGAAGTACAAAGACTCGTATTCCAAATTCACTTCGACCTCTCCGCCATCTTGAGAAGAAAATGGCCAAGGTGAGCTTTCTTCTTGTTAATAATGCTGTTTCACGCCTGTTTTCATTCTGTCTAATACAATGATTAAAACCAGAGACCTGGGAGCCCAGCTGCCTAGGTTGCTTGTGTGACCTTGAGCTAATTACTTAATCTCTCTAATCCTCAATTTTCCTCACCATTCAAACAATGATAAAAGCACCCCTCTTCTTAGGATTGCAGTAATGATTACGTGGGTTAATATGTAAAGTGCTTAGAGTGGCCCCTAGTACATGGTAAGTGGTATGTAATGTAAGCTGTTATTACTAGTATCATGTCAGGATTGCTTATCCAGTAGTTACCTGTCAGTTCAATGTTGCTTGATACACATAAAACATTTTCAGCCTGGAGTGCAGTGGCATGATCTCAGCTCACTGCAACCTCCACCTCCTGGGTTCAAGCGATTCTCTTGCCTTAGCTTCCTGAGTAGCTGTAGCTGGGACTACAGGCGTGCCTCACCAGGCCCGGCTAATTTTTGTATTTTTAGTAGAGACAGAGTTTCACCATGTCGGCCAAGCTGGTCTTGAACTCCTGACCTCAGGAGATCCACCTGCCTCGGCCTCCCAGACTGCTGGAATTACAGGTGTGAGCCACCACATATGGCTCGTAAAACATTTTTATACAGTGAATTTTCCTAGCTGCATTAGTTAATAATATGCACTGGAACTATTTTCTTTTATTTAGTTAGTTTTTAAATGGACAAAAATTGCATATATTTATGGTAAATGACATGACGCTTTGATACAACATATGCATACATTGTGGGATGGTTAAATCAAGGTAATGCATTTAGCATATGCATTACTTCACATACTTGTGTTTTCATTATAGCAGGAACACTTAAAATGTACTCTCTCTGCAATTTCTGAGTATACAATACACTATTAACTATAGTCATCGTGAAGTACAATAGATCTCTTGGCTTAGTCCTGCTAAAAGAAATTTTGTTTTTTTTTGACCAACATCTCTTTACTCCCCACCCCCTAGCCTCTAGTAACCACCAATTTACCCTCCGTTTCTATGGAGCTTGACTATTTTGAATTTCACATATAAGTAAAATCACAACACTGTTGTCTTTCTTTGCCTGGCTTATTTCACTTAACACAGTGTTCTCAAGATTCACGCACGTTATTGTAAACGACAGAATTTTCTTCCTTTTAAAGGCTGAATAGTATTCCATTGTGTGTGTGTATCTATCTGTCTATCATCTATCTATCTATCTATCTATCTATCTATCTATCTATCTATCTAATGTGTCTTCATCTATCTATCTCACATTTTCTTTATTCATTTATCTGTTGATGGACACTTAGGCTGATTTTATATGGTAGTTCTATTTTTAATTGTTTTAGTAACCTCTATGCTATTTTTCCGCATGTCTACAATAATTTACCTTTCTACCAACAGCATACAAATGTTCTCTTCTGCACATCCTGACCAACACTTACCTTTTGTCTTTTGGTAATAGCCATTCTAACAAGTGTGAGTGATATCTCGTGGTTTTATTTTACATTGCCGTGATGATTAGTGATGTTGAACGTTTTTTCAGATACCTATTGGTCATCTGCATGTCTTCCTTTGAGAAATGCTTATTTAGGTTCTTTGCCCATTTCTCAGTTGGGTTGTTTTCTTGCTGTTCAGTTCCTTATATATTTAATATTTTGGATATTAGCCCATTATCAGATGTATGATTTGCAAATATATTCTTCCATTCTCTAGGTTGTCTCTTTACCCTCTTGATTGTTTTCTTTCCTGGGCAGAAGCTTTTAGTTTCTTGTAACCTATTTGTCTATTTTTGCTTTTGTTGCCATCATTTTTCAGATCAATGTCATAGAACATAGATGTTTTCATCAAGGAGTCTGACAGTTTCAGGTCTTACATTTAAGTGTTTATCTATTGTGAGTTGATTTTTATCTTTGGTGTGAGATGAGAGTGAAATTTCATTCTTCTGTATGTGGTTATCCAGCTTTTAAAGAGACTGTCCTTTTCCCATTGAGTGTTCTTGAAATCTTTGTCAAAAAATCAATTGACCATAAATACATTGGGTTTATGATCATTACTGTTTTTCCAAGGCATATTCATTTGGGGGAGATTGGGATTATTTTTAATCTTGTTCTTTTATTCTTGGTTCCTCCAGTTTTAATTTTGTTGTCTTCTTTCTTAGCAACTCCTCATATTTAAGAAATTTTAAAAAGTTAAAAAATACTACCTTTATATTCTTTCCTTCTAAATTATTTTCAAAATATAAAGTTGGCAAGATTCACTCCATGACAATCTAGTTGCCTGTCATCCTCTTCTGAACGCCTGTTGTACTTCATATCCACCACAAAAGCATCATCACCCAGCTGTACTGATGTTTGTAGGGCCAAGGCCTCTATTTGATAGCTTTTCCAAGTCCTGCACAACGCTTTACATGCAGTAAAAATTCAGAAATTACATGGGAATTGATTTGTTCACATCCTGTTTATTTTATTCCCACGTCGAAAGTGTTTACCTCCCACAATTGCCAAATCAATTGTACTCCCACTTAATGTACTTAAATATACACCTGGTGATACTAAAAACCACCCACAGAAAGATGTGTACATCATATTACTTTGCTTCTCCAGGCTGATTGCCCTATGAGTTCCTCTCTGTTACATTATCCACCCACATTCTCATGCCTCTACAAGAAGGTAAGCTTCTTGAGAGCAGAACCTTGTGGGGCTTGCATGCTGACACGTTCTTGGTGCTCAGAATAGCGAGTGGTAGACATTATTGATTGCCTATCGGCCACTGCTCTTGCTTCTTTGCCAGCATAACCCGGATTTTGTCTGGCATCTTTTAAACAGGTACTTCTCATGGCTGGGCCCCCTACTGTGCCCAGTGTGTGTTTTGGAATTCATCTAAATTAACCCTGGGTTTTTCTATTCTTGTTGCCAATGATTAGTTTAGGTATGGGAATATGCTATGCTTTTTCAACACTTACTTGTCTTTGTCCCTAGAAAAGAGCAATGTGATACCTGGGTCTGTCGCAGCCACCTTGGCATCATGAGGAGAGCCAGCTCAAAAGCACAAGTTAGCACCACAATGATGGCGATTAGGAGGGCGTGAAACTCTGGGGCCTCGACAACGTCATTGAGCTATTGCTGATGAACCAATTTAGGCAAAACTCCATCTGCAGACTTCTTACACGAGGTAATAAATTCCATAATTGTTTAAGCCACTTTCAATTGGGTCTACATTTTCTGCCATGGAAAGCATCCAGACCGAGGAGACATACGATAAGTATTTGTGAACTTACTGACTGATGAAACCTGCCTTAATTTATGTCACATCCATGAACTAAAGCTCTAAATGTTGAACAGGAGAGGCAGAAAATTCTGACGGGGAAAAATCCCACTGCTCATTATTTAAGCAGCAGGAAAACAATGATTTTTATGTTGTTTCAGGTCTTGTCTTAGGTGGTGGGGTTGATGAGTAAGGAGATTCTAAATCTTGGGAGAATAGGGTTAAAAATTTGTTTTCATACATTTTTGTTGTCAGTTTTTTAGTTGAATTTCATTTTTTAACTGGCCAGTGCTCAAAATATCGTCCTTGTGAAGGTGGCCCTGGGAGCTTTTGCCCTGGCTGGCACTGTTGCAGGGTGTCGAGCCGGGCGCCTGAGCCACTAAAGTGCCCAACTCTGGGGGAGGGCTACAGAGGCCCTCGGTCACCACCAGTGGAACTATGTGGTGGGTGCCACAGATGCAGACCTGATTCCACGGTTTTCTTAAGGGTCATTTGCAGCCCAGATAAGCTCATTCTTTTTCCACATTGCCAGGCGTTCCTTACCTTCGCGCCTCACCTGTCCATTCTGAGGACCACGGCATCATCCCATGAAGAAGGAAAGCGGGCATCAGGCCACTCCTTCATGCCTGCCTGTTGTCGTCCAGGCGTCAGAAGGACTCTTGGTGATATGTCAACTTCAAGCTTTGCTGTCTCACCTGGAATACAGCAGTAACAATAGATCCACTCTACCTGCTGGTTTTGCCTCATTCCCATTCAGATACTACAATGGAACCAGGGATATGCTTTCCTGAAGGCAGAGCTGATGGTGCTGCTCCTCGGCTCACCATCATTTAACGGCCTTATTATCTACGGATATCTGCAGGCATCTCAGTCCACCGTAGAAGGCCTGGCTCCATCTGGGTCCTGCCTTCCTCTGTCATCTCACCTTTCCCCTCATCTTCCATAGATATAAAAATCTACCCACATCAAACTACCTTAGCATCCAGAGTGTGACCCATGCTAATACCTCCTTGGTGCCTTCATTGCTGCTGCTTTCCTCTCTCTGGATTGCATTCTCTACCTTGTTCTCCCTGCACCTCCTTTATAAAGTCACTTTTATTTTTATTTTATTTTTTCTAAATAAGGCCTGGCTCTGTCACCCAGGCTGGAGTGCAGTGGCGTGATCTCGGCTCACTGCAACCTCTGCCTTCCAGGCTCAAGCAATCCTCCCACCTCAGCCTCCTGAGTAGCTGGGACTACAGGTGTTCATCACCACATCCGGCTAGTTTTTGTATTTTTTGTAGAGATGGGGTATTTGCCATGTTGTCCAGGCTGGTCTTGAAGTCTTGGGCTCAAGCAATCTGCCTGCTTCGGCTTCCTAAAGTGCTGGGATTACAGGCCTGAGCTACTGTGCCCAGCCTGACTCACATCTTTGGTGTCTTCTGAAAGGCCTTCCCCAATCCCCTCATGCAAAACCAGAGTCTACCTCTTCTCTGCTCCTCCTTTTACTCAGCTAACTGCACCAATCCCCTTGCCTTAGGATTGCTTCTTTGTCTCTCTCTCCAGCTACATGCTGAGCATGTTGTGGACAGAACTTGGTCCGGTTCATCTTTTTCTATCCAGTGTCCTGCATTGGGCTTTGCACACACTGAGTGCCTGCCAGACACTTTGTGGTTTTAATGGAAGTAAATCCAGTGGAAAAAGTAAGCATAAAACACCTGCAGCAATTTCTGATGCAAGCACGTTTGTTGTAGGCATTTTCTTTTTGGGTTTGATCCTAGGAAACCAGAAAAAAAATCAAACATTAACTCCTTTGCAGGGTAGTGTCTGGAAGTAGATCTTGAACAGAGGAAGAGAACTTGGGAGGTTGAGGCAGCACTGCTACATGAGCACTACTAACTGACCTGGAAGTAGTCAATGCTTTGTTTTCTCTCATATATTTTCCTGCCATTCAGACCATCAAAACACTTTTTTTTTTTTGAGACGGAGTTTCACTCTTGTTACCCAGGCTGGAGTGCAATGGTGCGATCTCGGCTCACCGCAACCTCCGCCTCCTGGGTTCAGGCAATTCTCCTGCCTCAGTCTCCTGAGTAGCTGGGATTACAGGCACACGCCACTATGCCCAGCTAATTTTTTGTATTTTTAGTAGAGGTGGGGTTTCACCATGTTGACCAGGATGGTCTCGATCTCTTGACCTCGTGATCCACCTGCCTCAGCCTCTCAAAGTGCTGGAATTATAGGCTTGAGCCACCGCGCCTGGCCAAAACATTTTTACAATCTAATAATAATACATTAGGCTGAGTGTGGTGGCTCATGCCTGTAATCACAGCACTTTGGGAGGCTAAGGTGGGAGGATCACCTGAGGCCAGGAGTTCAAGACCAGCCTGGGCAACATAGTGAGACTTCATCTCTATAAAACATCAAAAAAATTAGCTGTGTGTAACGGCACGTGTTTGTAGTCCCAGCTACTCAGGAGGCTGAGGTGGGAGGACTGCTTGAACCCTTCAGTGCGGTGGTGGTTGAGGCTGCAGTGAGCCGTGATGGCATCACTGCACTCCAGCCTGGGTGAGAAAGCAAGATCCAGTCTCAAAAAAAAAAATAATAATAATAGTTACATATTAAAGCTTAAATAGGTTAATTATATTCATTTCATCCTCCCTTTACTTCAGAATTTAGAGCTCTGCAGGGCAATGCAGTTGCACCAGCTTCTAAAAAGTCGAAGTCCTTGACTGACTGTGAGACCGGAACATTTGTTATCCTTTTGCCCAGCGTTTCTTCCATTTCCATTTGGGAAATTGCCATCTGTTTCTGATATCTCTCCCCAGCTTTCTTTGTGAACTAAAGGGCAAAGTTTTAACTCAATAATTTGAGCAATATCCACCTCCCCTGTTGATAAATAAATCTTCCTGTTTTCTTTCTGGAACTCCCCATCTCCTTTGCTCACCTATCATTCAATACATGCTCCTGTTCTTTCAGGGACTTTCTTGGGAATGTTATTTGGATTTATCTTGGACAGAAAGCTGCACCTGGATTCCAGAAAGGTGGTCTCCCAAGGATCCTATAGATCAAATTCTTTCACAGTATTTTTTCCAATGGAAAAACAGAAGAACCTCCCTCACTCCTGAACTGCCATTGTAAGAGGAAAACTAGCCATCCCTTTGCGAGGAAGGAAAAACACTGTTAGTGACATCTTTGAATGAGATTCATCACTTTGTATTCCTCTCTTCATAGCAACCAACTCTGTTTACTTCTCTGATTTTTTGTAAGCTGGATGAGTCAAGGTGTCTTAGTTTTGTTTTTCTGATCTCTAGATTTTAGAAAAGTGTACATTCCCTTTTGCTTTCCTACCATGCCTGCACTCAGAAAGTATAATTAGCAAGATGGTATTTTACATTAAAACATTTGTGTCTTGTGAGAGAATGCTACAGCTAATGGAAGGATAGAAAAGTAACAGTTTGACCCAGCAATCCCATTACTGGGTATATATCCAAAGGACTATAAATCGTTCTACTATAAGGACACATGCACACGAATGTTCATTGCAGCAGTTTACAATAGCAAAGACCTGGAACCAACCCAAATGCCCATCGATGACAGACTGGACAGGGAAAATGTGGCACATATACACCATGGAATACTATGCAGCCATAGAAAACAATAAGTTCATGTCCTTTGTAGGGACATGGATGAACCTGGAGACCATCATTCTCAGCAAACTGACACAAGAACAGAAAATCAAACACAGCATGTTCTCACTCATAGGTGGGTGATGAATAATGAGAACACATGGACACAAGGAGGGGAACATCACACACTGGCGTCTGTAGCGGGGAAATAGGGGAGGGACAGCAGGGGGTGGGGATTTGGGGAGAGATAGCATGAGGAGAAATGCCAGATATAGGGATGGGGAGGAAGACAGCAAATCACACTGCCACATGTGTACCTATGCAACAATCTTGCATGTTCTTCACATGTACCCCCAAACCTAAAATGCAATAAAAAAAAAAGTAACAGGTGGGCCGGGCACAGTGGCTCACATCTGTAATCCCAGCACTTTGGGAGGTTGAAGCGGGAAGATCACTTGAGTTTAGGAGTTCAGGAACTGCCTGGCCAACATGGTGAAACCTGTCTTTACTCAAAATACAAAAATTAGCCAGGCATGGTGGTGCGTGCCTGTAGTCCCAGCTACTCTGCAGGCTGAGGTGGGAGAATTGCTTGAACCTGGGAGGTGGAGGTTGCAGTGAGCCAAGACTATGCCACTGCACTCCAGCCTCGGTGACAGAGTGAGACCCTGTCTCAAAAAAGGAGAAAAAGTAACAAGTGATGAATGCTTTTGCTTTTGGTGCATGGGCTGGTAGCTGACCCCTGAGAGGACTATGCCCATATCTAGCTTGGCTAGGTCCACTATAAAAGGCATATGGAATGCCCAGGAACCCTGTGCCCTTCAGAAGTGCTGGCCTCTTTAGGAAAGCTACAGCTATACATTTCAGTTTCTTTAACGCTTTTTCAGAGTTTCAACCAGTTTCCTTTGGTGAAAGAAAAAGAAATGGAAATGACGAATGGCTGTCATGTGCTTCAGCTCCCAAGCATGAAATTCGGGCTCAGGCCAGAGGAGTGAGTTTTCTTTGGGTCCAAGCCAGCAACACGAAACCCCAAGAACCTGGTCTTTGGATATGTCATTATCTTCCAAGCCAAAGGAAATGGTTGACGTGATACTAAGTGAGATGAATTTTGGTCTATAATTTACATGAACACCAACTAATAGTTAAAATGTCAATTAATGTCTGTATCAAATTATCCAGTCACGTGGATGGTGAGAACAGAAACGCAGTGCACTAAAGATCCCGAGCTGTCGTAAGGAATTTGGGCTACACACTCTGGCAGTGATCACTAATTTTGCTGTGTTTTGATTTAGTGTTTGTGTGAATATATTCTAGTATGTCTGAGAATATGTAAGTAACACCTGGTGTGCTCTGTGCAAATGATTCTCCACTTCAGGAGGAAAGCCAAAGGGGACACGCAGCAGAACCTGAAGCATCATTATAAACAGGCTCCAGGGAACAAACTCCTCAGATTGCTGAGAATAAAACGATGTCAGAAAAAATATACAAATGTATGAGCCTTTCTTAAATGCAAAACATGCCTTTAAGAAAAGATGATGCTCAGAAGTTTGTTTTGGGGCAGTTTGTAAACCAAAGCAGGTTTTCGGATTTGCTTGTTTGTTTGTTTTTTGAGACAGTCTTGCTCTGTCACCCAGGTACAGTGGTGTCATCTTGGTTCATTGCAACCTCTGTCTCCCGGGTTCAAGCTATTCTCCCGTCCCAGCTTCCTAGCTGAGTCTACACACGAGCACCACTATGCCCTGCTAATTTCTGTGTTTTTAGTAGAGACAGGGTTTGACTGTGTTGGCCAGGCTAGTGTTGAACTCCTTGGCTTCAAGTGATCCGCCAGCGTTGGCCTCCCAAAGCTCTGGGATTACAGGTGTGAGCCACCGCTCCAAGCTCCAAACCAGGTTTTCATTGCGTAGCTTTGTTTGCATTCAAATGCTCTCAAAACACATTCTTGTGGACACACACACACACACACACACACACACACAATTTACAAGTAGAGGCACTGAGTCCAATTTTTTTAAATGCTCGTGTTAGAGGTTTAATTTTGCTGTATCTTAAGAGGGTCAAAAGGTAGATACTCTTCCTGGAGTTACTCCTGCCTGAACTGGGCAATCATAGGCTCTGCTAGACTAGTGCCTACATGAAGGTGAAGCTGATGACCTCATGGCCCTTGAAGCACTGCTTTTGCTCCCAGTGCCTCTGGGATCAGCATTCCCTTCCTTTTGAGTAACTGAGGTCTGGCAACTCACAAGTTTAGCTTATTACATGAAGAGTCTCCAAGAAGAACAGGCAAGGCAGGAAGAAGCCCTCTCCTCAAAAGACTGAAAAGCTCAACGTGCTCATGGTGAGAAAAGCTGCAGGATTATTTTGAAGTTATAGTGTTTCCCAGATCTGCATCAAATGTAATAACGAAAGATAAAACAAATTAACCTTTTGGATATTCTTGTACAAAAATATCCTACATTTATGTCATCAGTTTATCCTTCCTTCCTTCCTTCCTTCCTTCTTTCTTTCCTTCTTTCCTCCCTCCCTCCCTCCTACCTTCCATCCCTCCTTCCTTCCTTTCCTCCCTTCCTCTCTCCCTTTCTTCCTTCCTTCCTCCCTCCCTCCCTCCTGCCTTCCTTCCATCCCTCCTGCCTTCCCTCCCTCCTTCCTTCCTTTCCTCCCTCCTTCCCTCCCTTTCTTCCTTCCTTCCTTTGAAGAGCTGAGTTTCATTTGCCTGGCTAGCCCACCTGCCACCTCTGTGAGAAGTCATCACCAATGAGAAGATAACAAATCACACTGTGTCATTTTCATTACTCTGCTCATCTTACAAACCTACAGGCAATGCTGGTGGATGTTTCTAAGATGTAACATGAGTAAGAGGGAATTCAACATTTCCCCTCTAATGTGTCCAGAGAGTAACAATGGCTCCCTGTTTGCCACATTTCCAGGGTTGGGAGGTCCTGCTAGGGATCTCAGCCTTCACTTGGACGTGGTAGGTGAAAATATACAATCCATGAATTCAATATCCATTGAAAATAGATTTCTGGCTCAACAAGGGTTTCTGAGACTTCCACCGGAGTTCTCAGGTGCAGTAGAAAAATGCAGTGGTCTAGCTGATTAATCGCTGCTAAATGCTGTTTGGCAATCTGCCAGGAGAAATATAAACAGCAGAAGAACTTACTCTATAAGTTATCTGTCTTTTTGCCAAATCGTACAAGGAAAATGTGTTTAAGAAAAAAAAGAAAGATAGGAAGATGTGTTTTTATTACATGTATACTCATTAGATCCCAGCTATGTAAAACGCATTAAAAACAACATGAAGTATTTAAAATCAGCAGCAATCACCTTGGTTGGTTACTGATTTACAAGATTCAAAACATTCTGAACTGAAGATGAAGGTGCATGAATAAACACGGGTTCCTGAAAGAATCCTTGGTGATTACCTGCCGTCTGCTCCGTGAGGGGCTCAACATCTTAAGGAAAAATGTCAGCACGTAAGTGAGGAGGAGGCGTTGATACTCAACCAGTTTCCATAGGAAATTGACA